GAAAACGCGTTGGCTAAAGGAGTTCTCATAGACACAGCACTTTCCATAAGACGAGCTTCTCCATGTCTCCTACATGGAGCTCGTAAACCCAACCCGTCATTTCTAAAAGGTCGTTTCTTAGATGATGATCATGAGTACGAAAATTACTTTTAAAGTAAGTTTTAAATTATGTCAAATGCTTAATATGGTACCATAAATTAATACATTTTAAATAAACTACACAAATAAATGTTTTGATATTTAAGACGTCTTTAATATGGTACAAATAATAATAACCAAAATACATAATTACATGGTAACGTAAAATGTTTTGGTCTTTATATGAGGTTCAAGTTAATAATAAAATAATAGCATACACTGCGGAGGTGCTGGCATACACAGCGGAAACTAAAAAGATGGTACGTACCAACGAGATGGCGATTTTGAGAGCATCTGGAAACACGTTAAGGGATTAGAGAAGAAACAAGGAAATTCTAGAGGATGCGCGACGTAAGATAAACGCACGCTGGAGACTCTGGAATGAGCACGTTTCACGAATGGAAAGGAACTGACGGCCAAGATCGCCAGATATTGCAGGCACAATAGATGGATACAATGGCTTCTATAAAGCCGCTTATTCAAAAGTTACAGTAATTTCATCCCATATTAACTACCGGAAACTTTTAAGCAATTGTCTACTGTACCACTAAGAGCCACTTTTCCAATCTTTCTGTTAGGCTAACCAGAAGATTGTTGCCGTTAGTACTGTTTTGAGCACTCTCATTGGTTAACAACTGGAGTTATCTGTCCGATAAATTTAATAAGAACATAGTAAAAGTTTCCTAAAGTCCTTCATTTCCATTCCGATCTTGGTGCTTTGTTTGACATGAGGTTTCTATTTAATTTACTATTGATTTCAATATGCACATTAAACTTATTCACGTTAATCTCGTTCAGTCTGTTGAACATTGCTTCAACATTCTCGGAAAACACGCATTGCAACTTGCTTCATCGAGTAAAGTATTCAAAGAAATTAATGAATCGTTTAGAAATCAGTTAAATCGCTTTCTTAACACTTTAAGCACCAAGACCACATGAAAAGTGGTCCAAAGCCGTATCTACACGCAATATTGAAGACACGTGTAGAGACCAAACCCATAACACTTCGTTTATTTGATTTGATAGATACATAGTTTCAAAAATTGTTTGCATGACTAACTCGATTATTTTGACCATGTGGCGATAGCATTGTTCATAATTTTGACAGAGTAAATTCAGGATGTAAGATCAATGTATCGCAAGGAGATCTCTTATAAATCTTTGAGCACTTGATCACAAACACTTTTTCTACATCGTCATGCTTGACTCTTGTGATACATTTTATGTCTATCGCTGGGAACGGAAAGTAGAAGCTTGAAAGTACATGAAAGAAACAAATTTCATTTGTGGGACTTCTTTTGTAGCTTAAATTTAAGTTCTACACTCAGCGGCAAAAAACACATCACCTAAAATGATGACCAGAGCGGCACCACGGGCTCCAACTCGTCTCCCTAGCATATTCCACATGTGTTCTATGAGGTTTAAGTTATGGTGCATGGACAAGAAGTTATCACCAATAAATGGGCTGTAGGAAACCACGTGTTCAGCCAAAATTTTTTCAATATACCGAGCCACGTTTAGATTGCCCTTGATAAAGCAAAGCTCCGTACGTGCTTCGAAATAGATTCCTCTTCAAACCATTACAGATCCTCCCTAACGTTCTCCTGCTCTGCATTGGTCGACGCACTTGCACTAGACGATTTCTTATCACAACTGTTGTGGTATGTCGATTTAGTAACACGGTCGTTGGAATATATCATACGGGGTTGTGTGGTGTGTATTCTTCCTGAACCAGTTCGTCTGATGAAGGTACCAGTTTGCTGAAATCTTTGAATGGCGCGACAAACCGTACTCTGTATCGCGCCAAGAACACGAGCAGCATAACGAGTGCTGCGTCCATCTTCCAAAAGACACTGCCTGAGCAACTTCTGCAGGACTTAAAGGCACTTCAAGGCAGTCAACGACGTTAACAACACTAAACTGAAATGCTTTCGTCAATTTTCATGAACCCAGTAATCAACATAGCATGCAAGCGATTATAGTGTTACGTAAAGAACACATACATAAATTCATATGTAAGATAAGTGTTAACTTTACGAATTATTTTTGTCCACAGTTGGGGTTAATAAAAAGTAGTTATTGCGATGTAACGAGGATTACGATATAATAATAATAATACTTTATTCCTCCATTTTACAAAGAAGCGTAGAGTGCGTCAATTTAACAATAATTACATTGTAATATAATACAAATTGAATTCAAACATTAAATTGGAAAAACATTTCAATAGCATACATGGGACTTTCTGTGACAATAGCTCTCAGTTTTCTCAGGAATCCTGGAACTGGCTGGATCTTTGTACCCTCCGAAATGTGAATGTAGATCTTGATACTGAGTGCGTTTTTGGTGGCACCAGATAGCAGTTCACCTTCCCGCGTGTGTCTCCATGAGATATTTCTCTCTCCTCTGGATGTGATATTTAATTTTTTGAAAAATTCAAAGTAATTCTTCCTAACCAATACGGCATATTCCAGAATATAAATTCCATACAAGGTAGGTATTTATATTTTATATTGTCAATTGTTGCTGGTTTATCAGCATAAACCAATGACTTAGCGTGGTCCCACAAACCACATCTTGACCAGATCAATGTCATCCATGTTTTCAAACAAAAAATCATTTATTATGGTGCGGTAACGATATCCATTGACCGTAACGCGAGCTCCGGCTTTATTTTTGAAGAAATAAGGTCCCATGATGCCACCAGCGTGCAAACCACATCAAACGGTGCATTTTTCTGGATGTAATGGAGACTGTAGGGTCTGTTGTGGATTGGTTTCACTCCATATGCGGAAATTTTGTTTATTAACAAACCCATTAAGCCAAAAATGAACCTCATCGCTGAACACAATTTTGCGATAAAACATCCGAGCAGTTTCCAACTATTCTAAAGCCCAATCGGCGAAAGAACGATGCATATGATGGTCTCGTGGCTTTAATTCCTGCACCAGCTGGATCTTAAACGGGTGTAGTCCAAGAGCTCCAATTCCTGCGACTGACGACGAATCGATAAACTTGGATCTTATTCCACACTTTCGTTTACAGCGGCGAGATTTTCTTCAGTACGCACATTCCTTCGACGTGTTGGTGTTATTGCATCATTTAGAGAGTATGTGGTATGAAATCTATCGACAGTTCGACGGATGGCTTGTTCAGATGGACGATTATGTGCGCCATACAAATCACGAAGTCGTCTATAAGTTGTGCGAATTGATTACTGATTTTCAAAGTAAATCTGGATAATTTGGTAGCGTTGTTTAAGCGTCAATCTATTCATGATGATTTGCCAGAGTATACCGGTCATAAATATCAAAAAGTGATCGCAGTATGACAGGTCATTTAACAGTTAACCCTTTCGTAAGTTCTATCTGGCTTAAAATAACAAGTGTGTACAAGCTTCTTATCAATTTTTGCAAGATTCGATATGAGTGCTATTGGACGATAGTTATCACAGCAGGACTTGTCTCCTTTTTTATAGATTGGGATTATTACTATCTTTTTCAACTCCTCTGGAATAACCTAACGATCCCCATTTTCCAAAATGTTAAAAAAGAAAATAAATATTAGTAAAATCATGTTTTGGCCAGTAATTTGAAACTTCCTAACACTGTGGTGTGGCGTGGCCGCGAATATACAATATTTGCCTCACTCGTTCAAGGCCAAATCTAATAAAAAAAAGTAAATCAAACAAAACGTGCGATTATCATTAACTACACATAGATATACAGGTTGATTAGATAAGATTCATACTGAAAAATGGGCTAACATAAGAAATTGTACGTCAACACGATAAATAAACAATCAAGTTCAATTTTGTTGTGTGAAAATTAATTATAAATTAATGATACGGAGCAGTGAAAGAGAAGGAAGATTGTGCGCATCGCCAATGTGACAAGTCCGCATCCGCAAGGATTCGAAAGATTGTGTGGCGCAGTGAATCGCGGCGGCAGCTCTAAATACGTCCAACTTCCTGTCTTAAATTACAAAGAAAACGACGAACGGAGAGAAGACATCTTCGGGCAGCCGGCGCCCAACCCCACAGCAATTAGTACAACCATCTCTTCTACATACGTACACATTTAATTAGTGAAGTCAACGGTGCAATAAGCATCTTTAACCGCGTTCCACTAAAAATAGATTTCATATTTGAGGACATAAAAAACTAGAAAACGAAGAAAAAATTTGATTAATTTTGATAAGATAAAATTGTATACTTTATAAATAATGAAACAATAAAGTTGTTTTAGTTCCAAACAACATTGATAGCCCCATTATAAAAAAGAACAAACACAAATATGGTTTTAGCTTTCCAACTGAATCAATTTAGATATCTTTGAAAATTCCGAACATATCAATTTAAAAATAAACTTTTTTTATTTTGATATTTGAGTAGATCTCCCACACTAAAAAATAAAGGTAATCTGGTAACAGTGTGATTTAGATTCCACACTCAACAATAACTTAAGTTTCTTATAATTAAACAACAACCCAAATCTCAATACCTAAATATGGTTTGTAGGTCAACAGTGTCCCCAAACAAAAACCAAAAATTACCAAACTAACAAAAATCATTCTCGAAACAACAACGTTTTACAAATGGAAACGAGTCATTAAATACGCAAAGAAAACAAGGTAAATTAGCGGCAAAGGGAGCCGACGTAAACAAACTGAGACAACAACCCAAATAATCCCTTTATGTCCATACAATGTGTGAGAAAGAGACGAAATGAACGTCCGTAGGTCGTAGATTGAAGCAAGTTCTATCTGGAAAACCCACCCATGGTCATTGATCTCTGTTTTGCATCGTATCTAGGTTAGATTCGGTTGCGGGGCTTCCGAAATTTGTATTGATAAGTACTCACCTCCATGTTCCGGTTCTTAATTTATCCGGTTGTCCAAGTAGAAGGTCGTTTTTTTTTCTTGTTAATGTATGTACGACCGTAAGAACTTGCCGTCGTGCACTGACACAACGCACAACCGCCATGCAACGACGGCCTGCGTCGACTGAGTAAACTAAACTGTAGGAGGAGCCGCAAACGCCGCCAACTGTCAAAGGTTTTCAGTAACCAATATCGAGTAGGCCACGATCAAAAGAAACCACAAAAAAGTCAAATAAAAAGTTATAACTCCATTAAAATATTTACCTTATAATTAACATTTAAATTTCTTCGAAATACTCATAAATCCTTCTTAGAAAACCCACTTATTAACAACTTCAACTTAGTCCAATTTGATTTAGGTGTGAATCTGTGTCGACGCGTCTCCATCTCTTGATCGATTTTAAAACTGTCAATGTAAACAGGGTTGCCACTTTTTTATTTTAATTAATACAAAATGACGGTCATCAATTGTATTATTAATAGTATTATATACTAATTGCTTAATTAATTTTGTTGAAATTATTGAATTTACTTACTTCGATAAACTTATTACGCCATCAAATTATCAACTTCAATCTGACCCAATTTGATTTTACTTGAAACTCAACCTGAAATTTGTGCTGCCATCTATCGACCAATTATGAGAAATTAACATCGTAATCTGAGTCACCTTAAATTATTTTAATTTATAAGAAAACAATTACTTCATTAATTTTAAATTTTAAAGTACTTAAAGCAAATAAATTTTAGTTAATAAATTATATTTTTTTGCACCGATTTAATAATAAAACTTGTCATTGTGTTGTTGAGTCTCCATCTATCGAATTAATTTGAAATTAATTGGGTTGCTCTCGTTTCAACTTAAATTTTTAAGAAAAGATAACCAAGATAACGTCGACGACATAAAATATCTCTCTGGTAGAATACTGCAGGTGACCATCAGCTTTCAGAAGTCTAAACTCACACAATGAAAACCATATATCATCAACAAAACTATTATACTAAGAAAGACTCAATAAGAAAATAGAAGCTGCCTGACAAAAAATAAAATCAAATATACTCAAAACCACCGAAGAGGCTGTGAGAAGAAGAATCTTAATCTACCATACCAAAAACGAAAAAAATGGTTTACAAATGAGGTCAAAGAACTGGCAAATGAAAAACGAAAGGTATACCTAAAATACAGATCCTAAAGCTTAACACTAGAATATAAGGCTGTAAGAAATGTAGTCAACAACAAGATCCAATACATCAAGAGAGCGCATTGGGAAAAATTCTCGGCAGACATGAAACATGACCTTTACGCAGGCCAAAAGAAGGTTTGGAATATGTTAAGAAACAGGAAAGAAAACAATCAACGAACATATAAACATAACGAAAATAGCACTAAATGAATGGGAATAACACTTTGTCACCTCTACTGTGCTGACAACAACACAGGAAATCTTGGTCCCCAAATTGAAAAATCGTCTACGACTAGCTGCATGTATTCTTTAAGAAAATTGTAGAGTGCAGGAGGATACCGACGGAATGGAAAGAAAGTGTGACCATTCCAGTGTTTACGAAAGGAAGACAAAAAGATCCAGCAAACTATCAGGAATCACGCTATTAGTTTCAGTCCTAAAGCTATTAACAAAAATCCTGGACGAAGAAATATCTTCTCATTGGTTAAGCGAAGAACAACAACGTTTTATGAAGAACAGGTCAACTATAGACGCCATCTTTGCAATCAGACAGGTCGTGCAAAGATCTATAGAATACAACAAAACAGCATACATGTGTTCCATAGATCATACGAATGCTTTTGACCGCGTAACACTTCCAGACGTTGTGAGACACCTCAACAAGAAAAATGTGCATCCAGATATAAAAAAATAGTCAAGTAAAATACGGACCCAAATACAAGTGGAATTCAGAAAGACACGAAGAATACCTTTGCAGATAGAAATAAGACAATGCGATAGCTGTTGATCTCGGAGATCGAGGACAAGCTGCAGAGAATTCTCTTTCAATTTGAAAAAACCGCTACCAAGTACTACATGACGATATCAGTAACAAAGTCTAAAGCACTATGCATATCGAAAGAGCCGAGAACATGCAAACTGGCGATATACAGGGTGATTTATAACATACGGAGCAGACTAAAAGAGTAGGTACTGGAGGTAAAACTGAAGAGATTTTCTTAATAATGTTTTGTTAAAAACTTAATAGTTACATAGATATCGCATGTTAATTTTTTAAATAATGTAACGTCCATTTTTGAGAACCGCTGATATTCAGTAAAGAATAATTAAAATACTTGTCCGTTGCTAAGTAACCAAATCAACTGGATTGGCAGCAATAAAAACATGGTATCAGCGGTTCTCAATAAACAAACACCACCGTTTGAGCGTTTTAACAAATTTTTAAATAGCCGTTATAAAGATTTTATTATTTTTATTAATTATGCATTGTTTAAGTAACCCCGAAATATTCGCAGTTTGAATTTAAGCGTAGTGTAACACCGTGTATGGTAAGAAATGCTCGGCCATTACTTCAACTTTAACGTTCTATATCTTTGTGATTATTAAGTTGTGGTCAAAATTTTATTAGAAATATATCTTCAATTTGGCTCCTAGTACCTACCCTTTTAGTCTGCTCCGTATGTTATAAATCACCCTGTATAATAAACCGGTCGAGTAGGTGAGCATCACAAGTAGCAGAGACCTCCGCAAAAAAGTCAAGGCTCAGACAACCAAAGCAGCCTTAATATCGGGGCATTTGCGAGATATAATATGGCGAAACAAATACATGATCATGCAACGTAAAATCCGCATATACAAGACCTGCGTAAGACCTGTTATGACTTATTGAGTATTGCTTAACGTTCTGAAAATTCCATATAGCCTTATATACAGGTATACTAGTTAAGCAGCCCGCTCGTATGAGTAATTTCAATTCAATGAGTTACAACCATCGAAGATTGCTCGGGTGATAAGGAAGATAATATCGCGCTTTAGTATGCCCATTTATCACCTTTATCAAGTAGGTGAAAATGTTCCTTCACCTATAAATGAACTAATAGAAGTAATTATCACATTATGACGATTGCATGACTCCCTTAGGGATACTATTCCAATCCCAGTAAATGCAGGATTTTTTAAATTCGTGATTTTTAGGTTTAAAACTTTTTACAAAAGTGTATACTGAAATTTTCATCGTTTCAATCTCATTATGATCCATCGTAGTGTTTGTATCAAACCATTCCATGACGCTAATAGGTCGTTTAGCCTATGGCCAGGTACGTTATTTAAAAGATAAAACGGTTTCGGAGGAAGATTATTACTTTTCAAAAAGAGTTTTACTGCAAAGACAAAATCGTTATGAAACCATCTGCTTTGTATTGTTTTTATCCTGTATGACTAGATTATTAGCATGCTAATTAAATGCTCCAGGAGTTCTCACTTTCCCTACAAACAAATATGTACCATTATTATTAGCATAAGGCATAACAGTAACCCTGTCTTTGTCCATTTTTCGTTTAGTAAAACTTTTCGGAACAACCCACTTTCACCGCCACGACTTAATCGGGAGTTAGATTAAAATCATCCGTTTTGTTTTCTAAACTTTTCAATACATGGAACAACAGTATACAGGTGTCCCACGTAAGCAATAAAGTACATAAATGGCATTAAGGAGTCGAGACACGCAGTTCTTCTTTAGACAAAAGTTGTAGGAAATTAAGCACACTATAAACGAAAAATATTTTTATACATACAGATGTTCCATAACGACGTACTGAAATAAACATTTGTTATTTTAAATGGAATGATATAGTTTTTATTGCGTATTCTGATTCTACACACAAAACTAAGTTAATTTTGGTTAGACATGTTGATACCTAGTGCTTTTAGTTTTTGAGTTATTTTAATTAGAAGCTTTTTTTAACAATTAACACTATGCCCTTCAAAACTGAATTTCTTGGTGATTGATCGAGCTAGAAAGTTAAAATTTGTGGCAGTTGCTACTTGAAAATCTTTAAATAGAGGCTGTTCAAAAATGTAACTACTGTTTTACCATATTCAATTGCAAAGAAGTCGGAAATTTTAAATGGAACACCCCCTATTTGACTAGTTAATCAGATACAGAATTTAATTCTCTACAAATCTTCAATACATGTCCCTATACCTATCAGTTGTAGTTTTTGAGATATTGTTGAATTAATCAATATCATAAAATATGACAGATCTTGTTCATTTTTTCATTAGTAGGCCATGAAATAAGACGCTAAATAATTTTCAACCAAACTTTATTTATAAGTGTTCAAATCTCCATCTGTGCTTTATGCATAGATGAAGCCGATTTACGAATTCGGCTTGCACATTATCTAGTGTTTTAGCAGAGATGTTCTTCATATCTTCTTACGTCATTGGAATATTAGCGTACCACTTGGGTTTTGACATATCCCCAAAGGAAGAAGTTGCGGGAAGTTAGATCAGGTAATCTTGCTGGCCACGGTATTGGACCTCCACGACCAATCGATTGTCTTCCATATCCGATATTTAAAAAGTTTTGAAAAACATCCCTGAAATAACGTGCAGGTGTCCCGTCATGTTGAAATATCATTTTTTGTCTAGTTTCTAAATCTACACCTTCTAGCAACTCTTCTTCTAAAAAAGTTTAGCAAATTTGTCCCGCCAGTATGCCTAATTATTTTACGGTTAAATATTCCGCCTCAAACATTTAACGACCATACATTTTGATTATTTACGCGCCTGAGCCATAGAGCATTTTCGGTTGCATAATATGCATTATGTTGGTTTACTAACCCGTTACATTTAAAAGTAGCTTCATCACTAAATAGAACTGATGATATGAAACGAGGGTTTTCATTTATTTCATCTAAAGTTGTCGTACAGAAAGCTACTCTGTTGGCAAAATCATCTCCATGAAATTCTTGGTGGTATTTGTGAAGTTTTATAATTCAGTTTAGTGAGCTTTTACTCATATCTGTTGCTCTAGCTATCTGTCGTGTACTCACATGCGGATTCTCTTACAAACTTAATAAAATATTTAGTTCGCTGTTCTCTTCTCGAACTACATACGACTTTTTGCGACGTTTACAATATCAGTTCATTATCGAAACATCGCCTGCTCGGAAGTCGGGCATTTGGATATCTTTCACGATATACTCTTTGAGCAAGACGAATATTTCGTTGACATTGTCCCAAAATAAAAACCATGTTTACAAATTCGTTTTTTGTATAATTCATAATCTAGCCAAAATCTAGCATTAACCAATAAACAACTAGACTATTAATAAAAATATGACATTTAAAAATTCGTTTAATTTGTCATTGTTAACTTGTTTTTTTTTTTTAATTTGGATCAAGTCAACGCTTATCACCTGTGAAATTACAAACAATTATGGCGGCATCACTTGAATGCATATATTTCATGGCCTACTAATAGAAAAAATAAATAAAATCTGCCATTCTTTGCATGATTTTGATTCATTCCGCTCTATCTCAACAACTGCAACAGATAGGTATAGAGACATGTACTGAAGATTTGTAGAGAATTAAATTCTCTAGCTGATAAGCTAATTAAATATGGGGTGTTCCATTTCAAATTTTCGATTTTTTTGCAATTGTATATGGTAAAACAATAGTTACATTTTTTAACACTCTGTATGAGATAGACCGATGTAGCTAATGGCGCTCTATTTAAGGATATTCAAGCAGCAACTGTTACAAATTTCAACTTTCTAGCTCGATCAGTCGCCAAGAAATTCAGATTTGAAGGACACAGTGGTAATTGCTAGGTATCAACATGTGTTATCAAAGTCAACTTAATTGTATGTGTAGAATCAGAATAAGCAATAAAAACTATATCATTCCATTTAAAATAACATGTTTATTTCAGTATGTCGTTATGGAACATCCTGTATTACTGACTCCAAACAATAGACTGCCTAAGTCTGACGTCACAGAGATGGGCGGAGCTTATACTGAGTCCAAACAATTTCGTTGCTAACGATAAATCGCCAAAAAGCGTCATTTGAAATGTCATCACTTAGTTTATTTTAACACTAATGAAAAATTGCATATGGTGATTTATCGTTATCAACGAAAATGCTTGGAGTCGGTATAAGCTCCGCCCATCTCTATGACGTCAAGGCTTAGGTTGTCTATTTCCTACAACTTTTGTCTAAGGAAGAACTGCGTATCTTGGCTCCTTAATGCCAATCATGTACTTTGTCGCTTACGTGGGACACCTGTATATGGAGGGGAAAAATTTTAAATATATAGCTCCTATGCATATGCTATGCAACAAAATAACAGACATGTCCTATAATTTTGCACTATAAATTTAGTGCACAACTTTGTTATGTCTCTACACTTTTCATTGAACACTCAAATCAGCTATATGCAAATCCCACTCTTGAACAATCTACTTGAATTTCATGAGATAATTATTTAAAGCATATCATATTGTTATTGGTTCCTATATGTGTATGACCATGTAAAATTTTGAACCTTGAGATAACTAAAGTGATAATGGGATATAAGAAAAACCTGTTAATTTTAAACTGTTGATTCTGTAGCAGTATTTTATTTAATATATGGAATGTAATACTCATAAAAAACAACACTTAAAAAATCGCACATACATGTACCGTCCAATAAATACTATAATATGAAATAAATAAAAATGACGAACTTATAAACTAAGCTAAGGAATGCGCAAAGGCTATAAAACCTCATGTAAAAATCACAAAATCATTAGTTAATAAACATCTATGTTGAATGTGGAACACAGCGACTTCATCTACATTATAAATATTATTAATTAATACCAAGCTAATTTTTCAAAATGTTTGCAAAAAATTCTTTTGAGCCGTTTTCAAGGTCATTTTTATCACTTTAGCCCTTACTTTACTAATAACACAAAAGGAATCTCAACTATTTTTAGCTACCTGCTTAAGCTGTTGGTAATCGGAAAAGGCAATACATAAGCACATCCGTGTATAAATTAATATAAAGAAAATTAATCTCATTAATTTCTTTTGAGGTTGACTTAACGATAGAATTTAACCTCAGTTTCAACACAATCTTTTAGCAACTCGTCTAGTTCAGAAAGATCAGAACCAGTGTTACTTAAAACGTCGTCCAATTCACGAACACATGTCGCTTCCATATTTAACAATAAATCTTGAACTTCATTACCTTTAGATTTCATTGCAGCCGAGTGTAATGAATATAAAGTATGTGGAGAAGTTTTCTAAAAAAAAATAATATTAAAATTAATGAAGAGTGGCAACAAAAATTAATTTACCTCATCTTCAGGACATTTAGTATGTTTAGAAATAGAAACGTTTGGTGTAAAAACGAATGGTTTAAATACTGATTTCGAAGGATCTGGTGTTGCAGTAAACCAATGAGCACTCGGTTTATCATTAGTTAAAGTAGAAACTTGAGCACCTTGCGTTGCACAGGAGGAATCAGCAGGACGACAAATTTCAGATTCAGTATCGCGAAGAATACAAAACATATCGGTTTCTTTAAAGTTATTTGAACCTGTAAATTTCTCCAAAAGCTTTTTACCAGCTTCCAATCGCGAGGAACAACCTTTATCAGCTCCAAATATATTTGCAAAATCAAAATCACCCTAAAAAATAAGAACAATATTGAAATTTTTTGATAAATACTTTTGATAGAATCACATTGTATTCTTAACTTAACCATTTAATACAAAAATAGGTACAGTAAATCTTTGATATAAGACTAATATGGGAAATGGAGTGTCCATTATAGCCAAAAGTCCATTATATGATAAATTATTAGCCCTAGAGTTTAACAGTGCATTTCTTAACACTACTCTTTTACTTCAATAAAAATAGACAACAATCTACAGCTGACTAATAACTAAAATTATTATTATTATCTAGTGCTAGAATTAATAAAACTAGAGTTACCATATAGATTATACATCATATAGATAACTCTGGGAATATCTCTGGAATAGAGCAACTTTTATATGCTAACATTTATATTTAAATATACTGATGTATTAAATAAATAACATTAATAGTATGAATTAAAAGTATTTTGTCCATTATATCCAAAGTCTGTTATTCAAGATTTTACTGTATATGTATTTACAATGGTATGTATAAGCATACAATGTAGATCTTCAATTTCTTGTATTACTTCTCCATTCCACAATCCTTTAGATTTGGCATATTCAAAAAGACCATCCGAATGTTTATCAAATTTCGTTGTAATGGTTAAAACATTAGATATATTTCTATATCCACCTTAAAAATAATTCCTTTAGTTTTAATTTTCTTTACAATATTAAATAAAATACTTTTTATTTCTTCAGCTACCCAATGTTTTCCAGATGTTTCTAAGATCCATGCTGTCGAGGGATCGGCGATTAAAAATGAATTATGATAACAAAATCCTGAATCTGTATTAGAGCAAGGTCCACCTTGTCCATATTTTTCCAATAAAGACGTTATTACATCCAAAGCTTCTAATGCAGTGGAACCACGTTCTAAACCTAATCTGTTATAATTTAAATTTAGAATCAAAATATAGATATTGATAACATTGTAACAATTTACCTGACTAAATCCATCCCCAAAAGCCTTTTAATACTAGGATCATGATCTCCATCATTATCAATAGTCCAAATAGCTTCATTTCCTATTGCAACACCACATTCGTTAGCTCCCATTTCAGCACCCCACATCCATCCTGGTTTACTTAAGATTATTGCCTTAGAAGGAGCACCTTCAACTTCAATATAGGTACACTATTCAAAAATAAGAAAAATATAACTATAAGATAAAATTTAAAAAATCAAATTTGAGTTGGTAACATTGATATTTGACATAAAAATATGTCAAAAATGACAGATCAAGAAAATTTAAGAATAATATAAAACATAATTTTTTTTAATTAATTGAATATGAAAGCACTAACAATAAGATTATTTTTATTTACCATAACAGGTCCGTTATCATCACTACTAGGATAATAAACCACTTCTTGTACCTCTCCATTGGGTCGATCGGAATTTTTTCCAAAAACAACTCCCATTTTCGTCAAGGGGGGTAAAACGACGAAAGTATCGCAAGATTCCAACAAAGCCATCTAAAAAAAGTATTAATACCAGATGGTACACAAAACTTTCTAATTTAATTAATTTAGCCGAATCGATAAAACGAGATAAATAACACGTGTTAAAGGGATTATCGTTATAAATATTTGTAAATGTAAGAGTGTTTTTCAGTTATTTTAGTAATTTTCTTACCGTGTAATTAATATATTAGCCAAAATTAATGTAAAAACCACCAAGTGACAGCGAGTTCTTGTAACGAACAGCTGACCTGAGTGGAATGAAATTAGTCATAAACGTTCGATTATTTCAATTTTGATTTATTTTGGACGTTTTTAAATTTATTTTTGATTTTAATGTTAAAATAAATATTAATAATTGTTATTTTAACGAAAATTTTTTATAAATTAGTTTTAAATAAATACATCTAATTTATTTAAAACTAATTTATAGTAGTCAATCGAACTATTTTTATCAATTAATAAAGTTTTAATTTGTTAAATTATGATTAATTAAAATTAGAAGATGTTAATTTTTAATTTACATTCTAGCAATAAAATATAAATAAATTTTATCTTTGATAACTAAAAATTATAACTCTTATCATTTTAATCCGCAGCTAAGCTCACACTGATTAGCAATTTTATTTAATCAACTGATTTATTTAAAAAGAAAAAAATTAATTATTTTTAATCCAAAATCCTTAAATCGTGGTGATTTTAGTATCCTTTTTATTTTTTGCATAACAATTTATATAAATCGTGTTTAAATCGCCTTCACGTGGAGATTAAGATTAGATTTTTGTTGAGGTTAGGTGTGTGCAAAAACTCGTGGAGCTTATTCATATTCAACCGATGATTATGGGTGGATATTGGTATCTTTATCAATGGTTATCAAACACTTTGGCAAAAATCGTTTTATATATCTTGTTTAATGCGCATGCGTTTCTCGAACAAAATTCTCTACGAACGGGGCCGTTTCATTCGGTCTTCGTATCGTTGAGGGGACTGCTTTACACGCACGGTGGGCGCATTTACGCCATACGAAAGCTACTGACCGCTTCTCATCACTTGTGTACAGAAATTGAAGAATTGTGAACGAAAAAAAATCCAGTTTCAAAAATGGCTCTGTTTCGTTTTACCACTACAAAGCTCCAAGAATCGCAAGTAAGTATTATTTTTACAATTTTTTTCTTATTGGGTTTTTTCAATAACCCCAAATTTAATACGCGATCTTGGAAATGCATTTATCTCTTCGAATTCAACGTGAAACGTGTCAACCAACGTGTTCAGAAAATTTGAGCGCTTTTTAAATTTCAAAATTAATCATTTTTTTGGTGTTTTGGCGAGATTTTTTTTTCTGAAAGCGTCGTTACATAAGGGTTGACTGAAAAAAAGGGGGGCGAAGCAAAACCCTTCAAGTATCGACCCTAAAACGGTCTTAAGCCGACCACAAAATCATTATTTTATTTAAATACAGTCGAATTTCGAGTTACGTAACATGTTTAATAGTTTAGAAAATGTATTAATAGATTATAAATTAATAAAAGAGGATTAAGTTTTAATTTAATAAGATATAAAAGAATTCATTCATTTTTAAAACGTTTTATCGCGGTTTTTAATAATAAAGCAAACTTTTGATCAACCCTATAGAGTTTTTCAAAACATGTACAGTGATAATCAAAAGTTTCTTTTTTTTTTGTAAAAAAATTGTATTTATTTATGTTATCATAAAATAATTTGTTGTTTATCATAGTTATAATAAACAACTTTAAATTAAATTATAATTGGTTACTTTTAACATAAATAATGTTAACTATGTCGTTAACTAAAACAATACGCAATCAAGTCGACACGTTTAACTCATTATCTTTACAATAATAACAAAATACATTAAAAGTTCTATATAACGGATTAATACGGGGAAGGAAGTGTCCGTTATAGTCAAAAGTACGTTATATGAAAATTTTTTACTTTTAGTTCAATAAAAATATACAAAAATCCAGTGCTAAAGAACAACTAACAGTAGGATTAGAACTAACACTAGACCTAGAGCTATAAACATTCGAGTTTAGCCGTCTTAAGAGACGTACGGCTAAACCCGAATGTTTATAGTTCTAGGTCTAGAGTTAGTTCTACTTTTCGTTTAATAATAATATATAACAATCTAGCGTTGAATAACAATTAAAACAACTCTGGGAGTATCCCAAGTTTATCATTATAAGATATGAACATGAAATAGAGCTATTAAGGAAATAAGCCGAGTTGGATTATCCGTTATATCCGAAGTTTTTTTTCTAAAATATCTAGATTCATGATAAGTAATAATACAAATCGTTAAAACCTTCTTACATATTACTTTATGAATACCACAAACATAAATTTTCAATGTCAATATCACACGCTTAATGGACACGAATGGTTACGAAACATCCACGTTTCAATTCACTTGTTAGAGGTGCTTTTGTAATAATTTAACCGGGAGATTAAGTAACGAAAACTAAATGTTCAATACTATAAGTATTGAAAACTAAATATTTTCGACCGAAAATTCTAAATTTAACGGCAACCGTAAGAAATCACGAGATCATCTATAAATACGTTTCGTGAAGGTTTTGCTCTCAAAATTAAAAGCGAATCGACGTCATACCACTCGTCCATTCAGAAAGAAAAAATAAAAAAAAAGAAATGTTTGAATTGAATTTATTGCTTTTAAGAGTTTTGTTTCGTTGCTTCATTATAAAGTCATTTGGTAGTAAAATTGGATTGTTCAAAGTCTTTTTTTTGTATGGAGGCGCCTAAACTTCTCCAGATCAAAGTTCAAAGTTAAATTAGATTTACAGTTATAGTGCCAATGTTAGAGTTACTTAATACTAGGTGGATAATTTGATTTTTTATTATTAGTTTTTTTTTCGAATATAATTTCTTCGATGTTTATTCATTTTTGATGAGTCAATTTAAATTTATTGCAAACAACCTGTATGTGAACTACAAAACGGGAAAAAATGCTTTAAATGTTTTTTTAAAAAAGAATTTGAGTTACGTTAGATGTTTTTTTTTTGCAATTCCAATGATTTAAGTTATTTTGTATAATTTTAAATTAAAAACTAAAATTATTATTAAACAAAATTGTTATGTTTTTGTGTTGTGGAAAATCTTTTTGTGTCTGGATGTGATCCAATTTTATAAATATAGCTTGGAAACGTTTAAAAAGTGAAACTTTTTTAGAGATATTGTAATAATCAAAGGTCGAGAATTTTCTACATTTTTTTGAGACAAATGTTTTTTTATATCAAAGAGTAAGAATTTAATTAAATTTTTAATTGCCTATTGTTTAAAATGGACTTATTTTATCTTTTCATTTAATCTTGTAAAAAATCAATTCAAAAATAGATTATAAAAAATTTAAAGAATTTCATCTATATTGAATTTTATTTTTTTAATGATTTTGATAGTACATAGTACAATTTTACATCAATCTTATCAGTATTAGAATTTTTTCCCAATTGTTAGTAATGATATCGACCCTGCCAAACCAAAACGCCTTAAACGCCAAAGTGGTCACTTTTTACTTAGCTACGCCGTTCAACAGGATTTTTAAATCTGCATCCAAGCAACATTGATGACAGTTTTTTCTTTTCTGAAAAAGCAAGTAAATGTCGTTTATGCAGTTTTGACATGGCATTAGTTAAGTCTTCAAGCATGGAATCCGATTTGGCGCCAATTTCAATCAATTAAGAATAATCTACTTTACTTACATTGAGGTTTACTGTTTTGATTGGTATTGAATGTTGCCAACAACAGAAATCACATCTAACGAATAAGGACAAATTCATCTCTTATGTGTTTATAGAATATGAAGTTTGTGAAATAAAAGAACAAATATCATTATAACAACAAATACTTGTTGCAATTTATGATAAAAATGCACGCAACGCCTTACGATCGAAGCGTTGCAGAACACAAAAGTATACAATATATTTAATAAATGCTTTTATGGATTATTATTATACTAATATTTTTTTCCATTTTACATTATTCTGATAGATATAGTTCAACTAGCACCATCTATTAAAAGATTTTGGATATAAATAAAATGTATCTAGGAAGAAATGATTTTAAATGTGACATTTTGTAGTCGGGTCTACATTGAGTCCACGGGCACTAAACTCTAATGGACTGCCAAATACCTGTTCTTCTTCGTTTGCCAGTGGGTGGGGCATTTATGACGTCATTTACACACCTCCTTACAACTGTAGGCTATATGTTAATTGGTTTATTCATGGTTTCAATTCAAAATTTTATTTTATTACGGTTTACAGCTTTAATTGTACAGCTACTACAGATTTGATATTCAATACGTAAATGAAGGCCAAAAATATATGTATTTTGAGATGATTACCTCACTTCTTGTTGTATTGTAAATAGATGCTAATTTCATTATTTTTATGGAACATCATCAATTTTATTTAGTCGAATAATTTTTATTGAAAATAGTTGTGGAGATCGTTTACACTTACACAACAGTGTCATTGATTTATATCAATTTCCTAAAATGCTTCGAGTATTAAAAAAATGGCTTCGTTTAGCTACAACTTACAATGGGCTGTGTATAAACTCCTACAAAAGTAAGCTTGTGTAACTAGACAAAGATACTAAATTCGATAAGACATGGATAGATGGAAATGTGGGGATTAGAGAAAGAGAAAAAGACATCATCTTTGTAATATACATAGAAATTTGATCTAGACTTACTGAAACATTTTGAAACACTTTTTCAAACCTATAAGTAAGCAATAAATTATCCTCATTAATTAGCATTCTGCACTTCAGTAAAAATAATATTAAACTGGGTAAGATTCCAAAAGAAACTATATGCTTGATGGCTAAATGTTGGAAACACATCTCGAATCTATAATTGAGAATGGAAAGTTACCGTGTGGAAAAAGATAAGGTGGACAATGATGCTTAATGGAAATACATACTTGAAGCTAAATGGAGCATGATAAATGTTGAAAGTATCGGAGTCGACTCAATTGGTGCGAACATTTAATGTCGTAATAAGAGCAACCACTTTCCAAAGCTACCAAAGGCTGTTTTAGAATCTGTCGAAAAGATCGTATAACATAATATCTGAACATGTTCTCATAAAGTTAGTCGATACACGTTTCAATTATTAGAAGTGATTAGTGACTAACCGACAAAAAATTGATCTGCATCTGATCAGAATTCAATCCTAAATTGTGCAGATATTATGACGGAAACCGCTTCATCTACTCTTGTAACAAACTTCATTAGCTAGCTGTAAAAAAGGGAAGAATTCTGACATTAAAATAGCTGCGACACCAAAATAGTGCTACAATAAGCACTTATAGAGGCGAAGAATATGACACACATTTAGCCCGTTGTACAACGTGTAAAAGGGGCTTTTTCCAATATATACAAATCAGTCAATAGGACCAGTAAGATCAGAGAGCAAAGCATCATTCATAACCGAATCGGTTGCTTATATTTTAAACCGCCCAAGAGAGGCAATATCCGAAATCTATTTATACATCTTCATTGTAAGCATCGTCACCGAAGTCCATCATCAAGACCATTGTAGTCACCCATAAATTCAATTCTTCTGAACTCCGCCATAACTTCCATAGTTTGCGATTTCTCGATTTGTTGAACCATTTTTACAGTCTATAGCTGTTTCTCGCATCCTAGGTTTAATTTTTTTCTATTTCGCCTGTCGCCTTCACTTAATCCTTTCCATGCACTCTCAATGACCGCTTTGTTCTTCCTCGTTTTTTTCTATTTGGCGGTATCAGTTTATCATTTTCTTTGGCCATCTTTCATCATCAGCTGAATATGTCCGAACCATTGTAGCCTCTTTACATCTATGGTTTCTAGTGTGCTAATCTATACTGAAGCAGGAGAATTTGTTCGATCCAGTTAGTAAACGTGGAAAAAGTTGTTAACCTAAATTAATTTGGGTGAAATAAGAAAATTGCCGTTTTAATACAACCTGGTCCTATCCCTGGAATAACTAATCTATACTCTCACTCGATCCATCCTTATTTTCTGGCAACTTCTCCTCCAATAGTCCATTTCATCAGCGTTTATTCTTGAATTGCTTCTTTTATTCATGGCCCATTGTTCGGATCCATAGCTACATTTTCCACTACCGTCTTATATATTCGGATTTTAGTTTGCTGGGCTATTTGTTCGCTCTATAGAACACCACTTAATTATCTGGTAGCAGCTGGTAGCATCTGGTAGCAGGTATTCGATATTTTAATTCTAAGCTAATTATAGGCTTTGGAGTTTTTAATATTCATCCCCTGGATTGACAAGTCGTTTCCATTTCCTCCTATAACCAGTTATTCCGTTTTATTGAGATTTATTGAAAGCCCCCACCCATTATACTACTCATACAATTTCCGAAGCATATATTCTGCGTTCATTTGATCTTCTACCAATATAACTTGATCGTTCATAAAGTACCGAGTAAACAGCTTGTCATCTCTTTAGTTTCCTATGTTTTGACACTTTTCTCATCATTTTGTTAGGGATTGTTTTATATTTATCTCAAATGACGTAGGGACTTAAATCAAGTCTCTGGATGAGCATCTCTGTCTAGTTGAAGATTTATTCTCAACATACTTAACTTTTTTCTAACTATTCCAGGCCAGAATTTTGAGTTGGGTTTGAACTGTAGAAATACTAGTTTCGTCCTTATTAAAGCTCAGAGTTGTGTTAATACTGGTTTGTTCTGGCTTTAGAAACGTATTGGTTGGAGTTCAGGAAACTCCACAACAAGGCTTAGCTTGCCATTGTTTTTTTCCGCTGTATCTTCCGTTGCATTGATCTCTAATATTCGAATTTCTCACTCTGTCCATTCTCGTTTTCCCTGCAATTGATCTTAGTGTCTTCATCTCGGCCACTCGTAGCATGCTCTTTCTTTTGTTTGTTTTTGCCCTCACTTCTATTCCGTCATCGATCATGTCATTATCGGTCTTATACAGGTCTTGTATATCTGAATTTTGCTGTCTATTCGCATATACGAGTTCGACCTGATTGTGTCTCTTGAACATCCTGATGTTGCGGATGCTTTATTAATTTGGTTCCTCAATTCTTTCATTGGATCATGGCCGCTAGATATGTGTACGCCTAAATAGTTAAATTGCATCTTTGCAGTAGTCATGGACTTGATTTTATCAACGGAGATAGCCATATTAAGCTTGCGGCTTCTGTTCTTCTGTTCTTGCTGCATCATCCGCGTAACACACCATACTAACTCTCTTGGTGCCCATCACATTTAAGGATGTTATTTCCTCTACGATTTTATCCATGAGGAGGTTAAACAAAAATTATTTTGATTGAGTTCATTTATTAAATCGTTCATAATGTTTGTTAAGGAAGAAGGTTACATAAAGTCCAAGCATTTCTTATATCTTAAGCAGGAGTAAATAAATATTAGATTAAAATTATCGAACTGTTTTTCCTCATATCCCTAAAAGAATGTAACAACATATCTGCATACAATATTAAATTCAAAGAAATCCCTAGATTATTTCTCAGCAAACAAATCTTAAAGATTGGCTAGATAAAAAGATTGTGAATACGCCCGATAAATGGCTATAGGCATCAACGTACGATAAAGGTTTGTGTCACGCCAGAAATGCGTCCTTGTAAAAAGTCCTTGAAATGCGTTATTTTATTAAAAAAAAATGTGAAAAAGAAATGTCAAATTTATTTAGTAGTAATAGATTTTAATAGATGGCGCAGGTAAAAAACACTATAATAGAGTCCTTAGATAGATTAAGTACTGCAATCTAAATTTAGATACATTAAAATGATTGGCGTCATTCGATGACAAATTTTAAATTGGCAAATCATTGGAATGATTTTAAATTTAACACCTTTATTTGCTGTTTGTATGATTGCGCAAAATTAATCAATCGAGGGATTTTAGTTTTATAGCATAATGTCTTGCAAACCATTTATCGTGTTTAGAACTTTTCATCTGCCAATACAACAAAGCTGTCTATTTTTACTAGGCATGAAAATTTTTCTTAGTAATGTCATTTTTGCTAACATTTTTAGAAATTTTTACAAGAAAAGTGTATAAACTTGTTACGTGTTATTTATAATCAATTCTTTAATCATTCTAAATACTGATAAATGTTGAAAGAAGCAACAATAATGACTCCTCTTTATGTATTAAGAAAAGCAAATACATCTCAACACCAAAGAAATACGTAAAATGCTTAACGTTGTAAAGAGAAGGAATTTTAACTATGTTAAGGAACAGTTAGAATTTATTTTAAATTGTTTCTCGATCAACTAACATTAAATTTGAATAGTTACTTTAAATACTTTATTTTTCTTTGATTGCAGGAAATAAAGCTGAATGTTAAGAGAACGTATTTAAGCTTTTGTGAAAATGTGTTGGGCAAAATGAATAATTTGGGAATAATCTCTTCGAAATGCTCAATTCTCTACTTTATCTGTAAATAATAAAATAATTTTAAGTATTTATTTTTGGAACGTTTGAAACTTTGTACTATTTGATTTGAATATTTTTAAACTAAGATACATGTGCCAAAAAGGTTTAGAGGCGCCTAGCAATAATTCAGTACCTCGTTCACGACGTTTAAAAATAAAATTTATTACAAAAGGTCCTTCAAAAACGACGACCTACTAGTGTCGCTGCGATTGACCTCGAGTCGTTATATTAAACGCCGCGGATTCCCCACAGTTCGTCCTTTGGACTCTGAGGAGATTGTGTTTGATCATTTCTTATTGACGAAGATGATCACCAGACTCTCGTGGACCACTTATTTTATTCACCATAATCGCATTGTAACCCACTTTAACTTTACCTTTTGTTTTATTACATTACGTAAGCGCCGAGGTTTTTTATTTCATCGTCTTTATAATCTGACGTGTCATATGCGTGTTTGTCCGAAAGGAAATAGTATGATTACGAACACGTGTTTCTGACGTTTTTAGCGAAATAAGGCAGAAAATTTATTGTAACCTTGGAGGGGAAAATAAATTTTATTTTTTGCAAATCGTAATCACGACCTCTCCTTTTTTTTTTTATTATAGTAGCATTCATTTATTATTGAATTGAACAAATTAAATGAAATGATTAAAAAAAAAACATATTGACCATGTCACGATAAGATTAAAACTATTCTGACTCTTTATATGTATATGTAATTGTGGTTTCTTGCATCATTTCCCAAAATGGAAAATACGCGCTAGATTGTATGAAATTGTTAAGTTCTCAGAAAGAAAATGTTTATTTTTGTGGTTTGAATTGATTTTAGAATTCGCGGAATTTAAAATTTTTTTGTATGAAACGTCAATCATTTTTAAACCTTCAATTACAATGATTTTGAGAAAATATATTATTTCAAATACTTTTTCAGTAAGAAATTTCACACAAATTATTTATATCTTTTTCTTGTATTTTTTTTTAGAGAATTATTCCTCAAATATCCACGATTTTGAGGCAAATGAGCAGTACATCGACGGATTTAAAGGCGGTGTTGTCGACGAAAGTTCCCAAGGAACAGGAAAAAGTAAAGAAATTCCGTAAAACTCATGGAAATACCAAAGTTGGAGAAGTAACCGTAGATATGGTAAGTTAAAATCTTATTCAAAACGTGTTTTCGTTATCAAAATATTTACGGTCCGTTGATATCTTCTGTCCAAACTTCAACGTTATTGCAATAATTTTAGTGTTTTGAGTAAATATTCTTGTCTAGATTTAAACGCATCTGTTCCAATAACAAAAAATGGATACACACGTGCGTTAATGATCAACATTGTGTTATAACAAAATTTCATAAAATCAGTATGAATTATACTTACACACTAGTTTACGGTAATACAAGTTTAGACTCATTTTTAGAATAAATAAATTATAAAAAGTAATTATAATAACCCGATTCCAGAAATTAAACATTTCAGCGCAAAATTTGAGTGGTGTAATACGAATTATTAATAGCTTATTTATTTCAAGTATTCTTAAAAGATTAGTTACATCAAAATTTATCAATATAACAAAGGCTATCAGTTTAGCTGATTGAGTCACAAATAACAATATTGGTATGTACAAGAAATATAATAAGTTCGCTATTGAAGATTTGTTAGCTAAATCTTTTCATTATTTGTATCATTCCAAGATTAAATTATTTATATACTTTCATGTTTTATGTTTAAAATTATATTCTTATTTAAGGCCTGGTTTATTTAAAAAAATCACAAATAGGTATACAGCTAAAGTACCATTTTGTGTTCACTATGAGTCAACTGTAATCTCTAAATATTTACCATGATTATACAAGCTTACAGAACATTTCATTCTTGTATCTCACTTTAAAGTATTAGTTTACATTAAAAGAGAGGGTATGTGTTCAGTTGATCTCACTTGTTACTTGCAGTTGAAGGATTTCTCCAAAAAAAGATAAGAATATGTGATTTTAGTCATAGCAATTTTCCTACAGAATTACCAACTATTTGAAAACAGCTTAAAAATAAATGTTATAGTAAGTCAAAAACCGCAAAATTATTGTATTCCCTGTATAAATGAAATTCAGGTTTTATCTACGAACGAGGAGAACGCAGTTCTGCGAAGATTAAGTTACTGAATACTGACTTTTTTGCGCTTGATTGGCACTTGTGAATTTCCGGGACTTCCGCACATAGGTCTACCACGTTTCGGTGCACTAATTAGGCTATCAGAAAGTGCCAATCCTTTTGCTATTGATTGTTGCAGTAACCTCCAACAAATCCATCTTGTCCTCTTTTATTTATCTTGCCCTCTTATTCGCGTTCCATTTCAGACTGATATTCTAACTAATATTGATACCAATTGTTACAAATGGCTAAATGGAAGTAATGGAAAATTACCCTCAAAGTTTTCATGATCTAATGAAAGTACGATACATTGCAATTAAAAAATCCTACTTATCAACCCCTCCCATGGAAATATTATACTTTCCTTTTGTCTCATCTTGCCATTTCATCTTCAGGATGAGGTGGCAAGATGGTTCAAAGTTCAATGCCTATGATATTTGATGCCATCTTTACGTTTTTATTATCATTCCACCAAATTACTGCTATTTATTCATCATTAACAAATAAGTTGTTGCTACCACGTCTACTTTTCTTTAGCACATTTTCAAACTCAGGGGACATTTTTCAAGTCTATTGCAGCGTATGGTTTCTGCCACGAAAACACCTTTTTCTAATAGTTCTTCCAGTATTAATAGTGATATAAAATAATTATCACAAAATATTTTGGGTCCTTCGTGCTCTGGAATTCTACTGGTTAGATTAAACGATCTATCGTATACAATCAATCGATGTATGATACCAGAAGCACCACAAAACATGACCGCTTATACTGCCAACGGATTTGGCTTTCCTTTTAGTTACTGCTTCACTATAAGTTGTGCGTTGAATGGAATTATTGATTCGACAATGCATAGATTTTCCTCGATTACTAACCCTTCACACTGCTTTTCGAAAGAATTGATGATTGGACATACCTTCCAGGGTTTATGATTATCGTTTCGTTCCCCATTTACATCCACATTGTGTAAATCATTTCATAGGAATTATTAAGAGCAAAAATATGGATAGGCGCAGTAAGTAGAGCCCTATAAATATGGAAAATCACCAGCAGGGTGGAAAAAGTTAAAGTTTAAATTATGTTCAGCAGCAAGCAATAAATCGAAAGTACTAGAACCTAGCATTATATAGCATTTCTTGTATAGCATCTGTTATTGCTATTAGAATTACTTACTATCATTATTAAAGCATTCCAGCGTTTACGAAGAAAGTCATTGATTGCTGTTGGGTTATAACAAATTATATAGAAAAACATTTACAGATGTATCATCTTACACATTTTAAAAGTAATAAAATAAACACTTCATACCCTACCAAAATAACCTTCAATATAGGATGATACGCTTATATAATCTTTTATGATTATGCGCTAAGGTAATTAACGCTGCGCATGCCATAAATAAATCTTATCTAAGAAATTTATACAACCAGAACTGGGCGTACTTCATCAATCAACAGACAATAGCCATAAATTTAATCAACAATTTAACAAAATTGAAATATTTTCAATCAAAAGGATGAGAAAATAAAAAGTGAATAATGAAACACTACAAACAATCTGACAGTATAATTAACATTTAAGAACTTCTTGAACAACGTCTTGAACATTGTAATCAAGATCGAATCAAAAAAGGCATTTTTCTGAATTTTTTATGATGAATTAACTAAATACGCTAACTCAGGTTTCCATTGCGATTAATTTAAGTGCTAGTAACATGGTTTTGTGTTATGCCTAAAGTGTAGTCTCGTGAAGATCGGATTGGAACCAGAATATGCTCACAAGATATCTTGAGGATACTAAAATTCATTGAAAAGCAGTTTACAGTCTATAACGCCCAAAATGTCATTGGTGTTTGAATATATGCTTTTACCGTATATTTCCAGTCTCTACTTTGCCATACAAAGGTCCTCTTCTATTTTGCTTTTTCCTTCTTCTTCCTGTGGGCGTCCATTGCTATATTTATTTTGATAACTTCCCTGACATTCTTTGTATATGTCCGTACCATCTTAGCTGGTTTAGTTATTATTAATTACTGCATGTTATTATGCTCTTTACTATCGTGTTATAGTTTTGATGATTGTTCTTGTTCATAAGCCTTTATTCCACAATATTCCATGCTCTTCTGCCTTGTACGTTTTTATCCTTTATGGTACAATCTAGTGTTCCGTCGCTGGTTATTTGTGCTCCCAAATATTTATACTTACTGGTATATTTTATGCACTCCTTTAACCATACCGGTTAGGTCAAGGTCTGTCTTCCCACACACATATTGGTCCCATTCACTGTATTCCTGTATAAGTTTTCTGGTTATCTATTCCATATCTTGCTGGCCTTGTAAAATTACTATTTGGTTGTTGGCGAAACATAGTTTGTATATGATACTGTCGTTTAGCGGAATACACATACTTTTGCGTTTTCTGTCCCGAATGTTTTAGATATATTTTGGAGAAGGTCGTGCATCACACCTGCTTGAGTCCTTTAGTGATATGGATACTATTCGACACGCACGCTGCCCATTTTATTAACCTGAATCAACCCTAGATAGCACGTGCTTAGCTTCACGTGGTGTGATATTTCGTGATAGTCATTAAATAGAAATTGCCATTGCTCAACAGAAATAAGAGACCAGTTATCTTGTATTTACATACACGAAAACAACGGTTTATGTTAGGTTGGCTTACATTACTAGATGGATTATGTTGATGATAATATTTATGTATTGTTTTCTACTTGGGCTTAGTAACTTTTTCTTCTTCAAAACTCTTTCTTCACTATCTCTTTATCTTTATTTTTACACTATCTCCAAATCATCAGCAAAGGTTTTTCAGCAAAGTCAAGCTTTTTTTTGTAGTATTGGAAATGTCAATTAGACGCTAATATAATAAATTAATATTAGTGAACTTCTGGCACTTACCTCCTTTACCAACATCGTGGTTCCGTTGTTCTTCATTCTATTTGCTGAAATTACTGATGCATAACTGTATCTATGTCTAAATCTTGTTTGGAAATCGTGATGGAAATCTTGATCTGCCCTTTAGGGCAGAATACGATAGCGTTCCAACTAACCACTTTTTCGCAACGACTCTCTCCAAAATTTACGACATGGTATTGAAAATACTGGTTGCTCCCATATCCGAGATAGAAGAAGCACTTGATGTTGTACGATACTGGTGATTGTACTAAGATGAGTATAGGCGACACGGTTTACTGAAATTTTCTACTTATTTTCTAAGGTTAAATTCGTAATACAAATTGCATAGCAAGTAGTCTAATCTTACGGAGCATTAAGAGTTAAAGTGCGTACATACCTTTTGGACGGTGAGCTTTGAACTTTCTGGATCATCCTAAAATTTGAGTAGAGCCTATTTTTTGCATCTTTCCCATCTTTGTTGTATAGTATTATCATTATTTATCATCTCTTCACTATTCTGAACATTTCAGACTGATCAAAATATTCCGAGAAAATATAATGATTGCATCGATAGTAAAGTTAACCCATTTGGATTGCAACCCGTTCTGATGACTTTCTGGATGGTTTGTTCCTTTGTGGTCTTAATTTTCACAAAAATTCTTGTTAAATATCTTTGATCTAACTTTTTTTTATTGTTTCCTTCATCGGTATAAGCGGTAAATCATTGGTTCTTATAGAATGGATTTAATTATCTTTTGAATTATTTACTTATTTCGGTGCCTTGTGTTTTTTAAAGCACACAGCTCAATAATGCTCGTAATATACCTTTATTCAAACATACTGGAAATAGTTGTTCATTGACCATAATTCGTCGACTTGCACATTTCAACATTTTAGTCTATTTCTATTCCAGTTATCACGTAATCAGCATTTCAACGAGTTGCAAATAAAAAAAAAACTTTCAAAACTGAATTGTTATTTACAAGAGATTATTAGAACTCCTCTAAATTTGTTTTGGTTCATTCAGATTTTAGTTTAAAGTTCGGGTTATGACCTTTAAATATTGACTAAAACACGTTAACATTCGATTG